GTAGTCATGGTGCAGTGTTACAGTAATCATGGTACAGTGTTACAGTAGTCATGGTGCAGTGTTACAGTAATCATTACAGTGTTACAGTAGTCATGGTGCAGTGTTACAGTAGTCGTGGAACAGTGTTACAGTAGTCATGGTACAGTGTTACAGTAGTCATAGGTACAGTAGTTACGGGTAGTACTGGTACAGTGTTACAGTAGTCATGGTACAGTGTTACAGTAGTCATGGTACAGTGTTACAGTAGTCATGGTACAGTGTTACAGTAGTCATGGTAAAGTGTTACAGTAGTCATGGTACAGTGTTACAGTAGTCATGGTACAGTGTTACAGTAGTCATGGTACAGTGTTACAGTAGTCATGGTACAGTGTTACAGTAGTCAGGGATACAGTGTTACAGCAGTCATGGTACAGTGTTACAGTAGTCATGGTACAGTGTTACAGTAGTCATGGTACAGTGTTACAGTAGTCATGGTACAGTGTTACAGTAGTCATGGTACAGTGTTACAGTAGTCATGGTACAGTGTTACAGTAGTCATGGTACAGTGTTACAGTAGTCATGATACAGTGTTACAGTAGTCATGGTACAGTGTTACAGTAGTCATGGTACAGTGTTACAGTAGTCATGTACAGTGTTACAGTAGTCATGGTAAAGTGTTACAGTAGTCATGGTACAGTGTTACAGTAGTCATGGTACAGTGTTACAGTAGTCATGGTACAGTGTTACAGTAGTCATGGTACAGTGTTACAGTAGTCATGGTACAGTGTTACAGTAGTCGTGGTACAGTGTTACAGTAGTCATGGTACAGTGTTACAGTAGTCATGGTACAGTGTTACAGTAGTCATGGTACAGTGTTACAGTAGTCATGGTACAGTGTTACAGTAGTCATGGTACAGTGTTACAGTAGTCATGGTACAGTGTTACAGTAGTCATGCCACAGTGTTACAGTAGTCGTGGTACAGTGTTACAGATAGTCATGGTACAAGTGTTACAGTAGTCATGGTACAGTGTTACAGTAGTCATGGTACAGTGTTACAGTAGTCATGGTACAGTGTTACAGTAGTCATGGTACAGTGTTACAGTAGTCATGGTAGTTCACCATTATGGCCACATCACCTCATCTGGTTTTTACTTAATGGTCAATTTTACGACTTCTTCAATCTTCTTCATTATCATTATCATCATCAACATCTTCTTCTTCTTCTTCTTCTTCTTCTTCTTCTTCTTCTTCTTCTTCTTCTTCTTCTTCTTCTTCTTCTTCTTCTTCTTCTTCTTCTTCTTCTTCTTCTTCTTCTTCTTCTTTGCTTCTCCTTTTTTTTCTTCTTCTTCTTCTCTTCTTTTTTTTTTTCTTCTTCTTCTTCTTTTTTTTCTCTTTCTTCTTCTTCTTCTTCTTCTTCTTCTTCTTCTTCTTCTTCTTCTTCTTCTTCTTTCTTCTTCTTCTTCTTCTTCTTCTCTTCTTCTTCTTCTTCTTCTTCTTCTTCTCTTCTTCTTCTTCTTCTTCTTCTTCTTCTTCTTCTTCTTCTTCTTCTTCTCCTTCTTCTTCTTCTTCTTCTTCTTCTTCCTGCTTCTCCTTTTTTCTTCTTATTCTTCTTCTTCTTCCTCTTCTTCTTCTTCTTCTTCTTCTTCTTCTTCTTCTTCTTCTTCTTCTTCTTCTTCTTCTTCTTCTTCTTCTTCTTCTTCTTCTTCTTCTTCTTCGTCTTCTTCTTCCTCTTCTTCTGCTTCTCCTTTTTCTTTTTCTTCTTCTTCTTCTTCATCTTTTTATTTCCTCTGGTCTGAGACCTAAGTTCTGACTCTTTCTCTTCCTTCGTCACATACTCATGATATTTTATTTAGATGAAGCATTAAACCCTTGTGGGCTATTCAGCGGGAGGGGGGGGTTGTAATCTCGATCCTCCGTCTGAGTAATCGTCATACGTAGCTTGTGGGATGAGAAATAATCAGGTTTGATTCGGGGAAGAAGAAAGCAGTTCTAATTCGTCTGAGGAAGTACACTTGAGCAGCATCAGGCGGCACTTTAGGCGGCAGTGGTGGGGAGAAGCTTTCACCTGATCACATCACTTGATTATTGTTACGAGAAGGTGTTGTGAGAGGTGTTTCAGGAGAGTCAGTCGAGGAATGATCATTGATAGTCATGTCCTTGCTGAGGGCACAGCCAGAGCGAAACTGCTAATGGTTACCCGTGTCTTTTTGAAATATTACCTTATCTGCCCTCTAGGTGTCCACAATGCTGGCCAAGGTGGTGACCTTGACAGCACTGACCTTGGATACAATAGCAAATTGTTGAAGGAAATGAAACGTTCGTCTAGACGAGATATGAACTCTACATCTGGGAAGAGTTCAAGAGAGTGGTGCTTACTCCAAGCTAAAGCAACCTACGTCCTTCTATGATTTTTTGAGCCTCTTCTCTCTAGTAAGATGCACTTTAACACGGGTGTTTTGAGTCTGCTGCCTTATTGAGCGATGGATCTCTACAATATACAGTGTTGTCACAACATCTGCAATGGTGCCATTATGGTGTCTATGACCGACCGTCATGTGTAATGTCTGTTGAGTAAATGTAACTTGTTGTCACTGTCTCCAGGACGACACACATACTAACACACACACACATCTGAGCCAGACGGGAAGTTGGTCTGGAGGTCTACTACAAGGACAGAATGACTGAGGTCGCACACCACGTAGAGAAGTAGAGAGAGACAGAGACAGAGACAGACAGACAGACAGACAGACAGACAGACAAGGAGAGAGAATGACAGAGAGTATATATATATATATATATATATATATATATATATATATATATATATATATATATATATATATATATATATATATATATATATATATATATATGTGTGTGTGTGTGTGTGTGTGTGTGTGTGTGTGTGTGTGTGTGTGTGTGTGTGTGTGTGTGTGTGTGTATGTGTGTGTGTGTGTGTGTGTGTGTGTGTGTATGTGTGTGTGTGTGTGTGTGTGTGTGTGTGTGTGACACAGTTGCTTCCCATGATGACGGTCTCTGTCAGGGTTATAGTCTCGAGGACGATGTTTAAGGACACCTCTATGTTGCACACACGTACGCACTACCTATACACTGTACGTTATCGGCGTTCGATAACGTACAGTGCGCACGTACGTACTACGTATACATCGCACGTTATCCTTAGTATTCACGCACATCCGTAGTCCCTCTCTCCCTCAGCGAGCAATAGGTTGCTGTCTGTTGTAATAATGTTACTAGAATTGCCTACAATATGAAAGGCAACTAATGTGATACTTTATTGTGATAACGTTTCGATCTCCAGGAGCTTTGTCAAGCTGCAGTAAAATGTCACATCAGTCGCACCTGCGTCCTTCTAACACACCTGTCTGACTGTTGTTGGTAAACTGTTTACCAGACTGAATCCATCACTTCAGCGGGAAGAAGTGTATTTTTTATCCTTTTGATCGGGGCAGGAGGAGGAGTAGGAGGTGGAACAAGAGAAGAAAGAATAAGAAGAGAAGGAGGAAGAGGAAGAGGAGAAAGAGGTGCAGAAGAGCTCAGGAGTTAGTGTGGCAGGCTAGGCAGGTACGGGCGGGGCTGTCCAGCTATGCTTTACTGTGTCAAGGTAAATTATGGTATTGCCACAAATGTCGCGTTTAAACCATTATTGTGGTGGCCCTTCCAACAGTGTGTGTGTGAGTTTCTGCATGGGAATGGTTGTGGCAATGGTGACGGTTATGGTGATGACGGTGGTGATAATTATAATGATGGTGTGTTGATTGCTAAATAGTGAGGCAAATATAATGAAGACAGTTAGCGAAACAGTTCTTTATCTGTTAGGAGGTATCTTTCAGTGTTGAATTTCAGCATAGCAAAGGAAGTAATACATTCACCTGGAAGAGGTGAATATATAAGACTGAAAGTGAGTGTGCAAGACTGGTGATGAGTGTACAAGACTGCAAATGATTGTACAAGCCTAGAGGTGAGTGTATAAGACTGGAGATGGGTATACAAGACTGGAAGTGACTATACAAGACTAGAGGTGAGTATTCAAAGCTGGAAGAGAGTATAGGAGACTGGAAATGAGTATACAAGGTGAGTGCCATGGGTTCCATACAGCAGGGGATGGCTTGGGAGGTGAGTCACCCACCAATCCAACCTCCATATTTACTGTCACGCGTGATAAAAAAAAATGAACCTAACCTAAACGAGAATAAAAAATACATAATATTTTGACTGAAATTAATTAATCACGCAGAAAAGACATAGTTGTTACCTTGACAGTTTGTGTGTCTGTGTAGAATAAATTGAAGGGATGGTGAGAGAATATGTGCCTTGATCCTGTCTGATCGTGCTACTGATGTGAATCATAGCTGCCTCAAGACAACATCCTCTTGTATTATCATAGCTGCCCCAATACAATGTCCTCTTGTCCCATTATTTTCCTGAATGAGAAGTGCTGTCACACTGCATGACTTGTAAGTGCTTCTTCAAGTACATGACCACGCACTGTTGATACTCTGAATCTCATACTAGTACTGAAGTTGTAGCACCATATTGTTTAAATTAAGTTTATCCTATAGAGAGTGCTAAACCCTTGTGATTCGTTCAACGCAAGGACTGATGAAGGCTCGATCCTCTGTCAGCGACAGAGAGAGAGAGAGAGAGAGAGAGAGAGAGAGAGAGAGAGAGAGAGAGAGAGAGAGAGAGAGAGAGAGAGAGAGAGAGAGAGAGAGAGAGAGAGAGAAAGAGAGAGAGAGATTGATTCTCCAGTAGGGTTTACTGGCGTTATCTCTTCTCTAGCGGAGAATAACGATTCTCTCTCTCTTTCTCTCTCTCTCTTTCTCTCTCTCTCTTTCTCTCTCTCTCTCTTTCTCTCTCTCTCTCTTTCTCTCTCTCCTCCAGCAGAATATACTGCCTCTTTCTAGCAGAATATACTGCAGCTATAACACCGTCAACATGAATATACTAACTCTTTCCATCAGCATGAGTATACTGATGAGTGTATGTGTGTCTGCAGCATGAGTGGTACACGGAGAGCTGCACTGCTGCTGCCGCTTCTGCCTCTGCTGCTTCTTGTGGCATTGCTGAGGCTGGCCACCTGCTGCCAGTACAGTGCCATCGACCCCAGGCACACCATGTGTGCCTTCCCTGCTGCCCAGTGCCCGGGAAAGAACCTTCTCAGTGAGTACCCCCATCACCTAGTATCATGAGCATATGTTATGGGCCCCATCAGTCTATATTATTACCCCATCAAGCCTGTATGATTACCCATTCAAGTCTGTATGGTTATCACATTAAACTTATATGATTACCTCCATGAAGGAGTAATCATACAAACTTGGGCACCTCCATATATGGTTTTTTGAGAACTTGTGAAGGACACAATAAAGCCTTCATTTGTGTAACAGATCGAGGCTAACTGAGAGGCGGAGCTAGAAGCTGAGACTCGACCCCTGAAACCACAACTGGCTAAGTACACACACACACACACACACACACACACACACACACACACACACACACACACATACACACACACACACACACACACACACATACACACACACACACACACACACACACACACACACACACACACACACACACACACACACACACACACACACACACACACACACACACACACACACACACTGGGGTACGTGAATCGTACTCACATTTGGAAGTGAGTAATGAACAACTATAGATGGTGGTGAGTCAGTGAGTACGAGGTGAATACTAACACAACCTGTGTGACAACTACACCTAACTCACTGTGTGTCCTTAACGTCCTCTGGTGTTGTTGTTGCTGCTGCTGGTGTTGTTGTTGTTGTTGTTGCTGCTGGTGTTGTTGTTATCGTTGCTGCTGGTGTTGTTGTTGTTGCTCCTGCTGGTGTTGTTGTTATCGTTGCTGCTGTTGGTGTTATTGTTATCGTTGCTGCTGCTGGTGTTGTCCTTATCGTTGCTGCTGCTGTAGAGGAAGCTCTGGCAGCTTTTAGGGTTTCATTCCAGCAGCTCTGGAGTTACTATCACTCGGTTATAACCGTCTTTCACAACCTCTCCCACACACCTCCCAAAACTTAGAAAACTTACCTAACCTTATTATAACAAGCACAACTTAATTTAGCCTAACCCAACTAAATATATTTTAGATAAGTTTACAATAATTTAATAATAAACAAACACAATGAATTTTTTTCTTCGTTAGGTTCAGGATGATTTTTGCGAAATTATTGCATACACAAGTTTTAGCTTGCATTGTTCGGCAAGAAGAGCGTTGATATTTAAGCCAAAATCCCAAGTTTTACCTATTCGGCACGACACACACACAAACACACACACACTCAGATGAAATAAAGAGATGTAAGGAAGTATTTCTTTAGTCATAGAGTTGTTAGGAAGTGGAATAGTCTGGTAAGTGACGTAGTGGAGGCAGGAACCATACATAGCTTTAAGACGAGGTATGATAAAGGCCATGGAGCAGGGAGAGAGGACCCAGTAGCGATTAGTGAAGAGGCGGGGCCAGGAGCTATGATTTGACCGCTGCAACCACAAATAGGTGAGTACAAGTGGATGAGTGCTCACACACACACACACACACACACACACACACACACACACACACACACAGGAGTCCAGGAGCTGAGTTTCGACCCCTGCAACCACAATTAGGTGAGTACACACACACACACATACACACACATATATAAATGTGTGTGTGTGTGTACTCATCCACTTGTACTCACCTATTTGTGATTGCAGGGGTGGAATCATAGCTCCTGTCCCCGCCTCTTTGCTGATCGCTACTGGGTCCTCTGTCTCCCTGCTCCATGGCCTTTATCATACCTCGTCTTAAAGTTATGTATGGTTCCTGTCTCCATTACGTCACTTACCAGACTATTCCACTTCCTAACAACTCTATGACTAAGGAAATACTTCCTTACATCTCTTTGATTCATCTGAGTCCTCAACTTCCAATTGTGACCCCTTGTTTCTGTGTCCCATCTCTATAACATCTTGTCTTTGTCCACTCTGTCAATTCCTCGCAGTATTTTGTATGTCGTTATGTCTCCCTAACCCTCCTGTCCTCTAGTGTCGTCAGGCCGATTTCCGTTAACCTTTCTTCGTGGGGCATTTCACTTAGCTCTGGAGCTAGTCTTGTTCCGAACCTCTGCACTTTCTCTAATTTCTTGACGTGCTTGCCCAGGTGTGGGTTCCAAACCGGTGCTGCATACTCCAGTATGGGCCTGACGTACACGGTGTACAGAGTCTTGAACGATTCTTTACTGAGGTATCGGAACGCTTTTCTCAGGCTTGCCAGGTGCCCATATGCTGCAGGAGTTATCTGGTTGATGTGCGCCTCAGGAGATGTGCTCGGTTTTATACTCAACCCAAGATCTTTTTCCAAAAGTGAGATTTGCAGTCTTTGGCCACCTAGCCTGTACTCTGTCTGCGGTCTTCTTTGGTCTTCCCCGATCTTCATGACTTTGCATTTGGCAGGGTTAAATTCAAGGAGCCAGTTGGTGGACCAGGCTTGCAACATGTCCAGGTCTCTTTGTAGTCCAGCCTAATCCTCATCCGATTTAATTCTCCTCATTAACTTCACATCATCTGCGAACAGGGACACTTCTGAGTCTATCCCGTCCGTCATGTAATTCACATATACCAAAAACAGCACTGGTCCCAGGACTGACCCCTGTGGAACTCCGTTCGTCACAGGCGCCCACTCTGATACCTCGTCACGTACCATGACTCGTTGTTGCCTCCCTGTCAGGTACTTCCTGATCCATTGCAGTGCCCTTCCTGTTATGCATGCTTGGTCCTGTGTGTGTGTGTGTGTAGATAGATAGAAAGAGATGATGTGTGTGTAGTACTATATATCTATACGAATAGGGAAAAGAGAGGAATAATTACTGACGAGACTACTTACATATATATATTAGTGAAATATGTCCTAACAGATATTCTCTGGAGAATTGCTCTTCAGTGTGGTAAATAACATTATCTTCTGGGTCGACAGTGTTCTCCAACACGACCTACGCATATGTCATATAAGAATATATGACTTAAGATTTAAACATAACTGGTGTAAAAGTGACAGAAGATAAGGGTTAACACACTTGAAATTATGAATATGGTGACATATATACATACAAACAACAGCAAATGGTATAACTTTACAGAGGTTGAATGATGTGTAAGAGACTGATTAGATATTTTTATATTCTGCCGTCGAAGCGGCTGGTTTATTGAACACCTCATACCCATCGTGTGGATGGAAGTGTAAGAACACTCGGATACACAGGGCCCAAGAACTAGCCTCCCCCACCCCAAAAAAAAAGTTAACAGGAGTACATATCAACACTTAACATTTTCTTCTGTTGCAAGCATATTTAGGATATTTGCTTAGTATTTAGTGTCTTATTTTCATTAATAAGATACAGTACCTTGACATACCACACTGGTTATTATCCTATCTTTACTCTTCAATAAGTGGACATCCAAGCACTTGAGAGAGCGAAATAGAATAAAATGAGAGGGTTTATAAATACATATATACTCACATTTTTACATGTAATTTGTGTAGTGCACCTTACTTACACTAGCAGTGTTATTATCGAACTGATAGCTTTATTATGAGCAATGAGGATATGCTCAAGCACTACAAAATATATGAGGCGATACTGTTTTTTCGTTAAAACAAAACATAATGGCTCATGAGTGTTCCAGCCTTATTTTATATGATATGTACATGGCGGAGACACAAGTTAGGGATATTTCCCTGTCATATTCCATCAGTGAGGATCTGTTACACACATGAGGAGAGCCAGTGTGTGTCTGCTTGAGCTGAGAGCCTTCAATAAGGCGATGAAGATAATGTCATACTATGGGTTCAGTAACTACGGCAGCTTCAAAGGTCTTATTCTAGCAGAGCTGGTGTTACTATCATTTGGAAATTACTGTCTCTCAGGATGATCTATTGTGGTGAGGGTGGTGGAGAAGTGTGATGGCGTAGGTGATCAGAGTAGAAGGAGTCGACCCACGGAGAAGCTCACCAGAGAGCCCACGAGGAACAAAACAGGTGACCTAGAGAGGCCACCACACACAAACAACCTGCATCACCATCACTAAGTTTACTCTCTGCAGCATTCACACACTTTACTTTCACATAATATATAGACTCCTTGAGTGGAGTGAAATTGGAGTGTGTAGGTACGGACGCTACACCTGCAGGGGCCCCTAATGGACCCTCTACCTGCAGAGGTTTATAATGTACGCTACACCTGCAGGGGCCCCCTAATGGACCCTACACCTGCAGGGGCCCCTAATGTACGCTACAGGGACAGTGGCCCCAAACAGATATATGTTCTCTACGGGTGACTTTCAAATGTGGTATCATTATGTAGATTCAGTGAGTCAGCTATGCGTGTTTGATTCTGGTCACTACTTATGAATATGCAGCGGAGGTTTGGAATAGTATATGGAAGGTTAAACATTATGCTGGGTAGCTCACACCACCACCACTGTTTCTTTACTACGTTCACTGTTCCTACAGTCACCACACTGTTCCTTACACAGTCACCACACTGTTCCTTACACAGTCACCACACTGTTCCTTACACAGTCACCACACTGTTCCTTACACAGTCACCACACTGTTCCTTACACAGTCACCACACTGTTCCTTACACAGTCACCACACTGTTCCTTACACAGTCACCACACTGTTCCTACACAGTCACCACACTGTTCTTTACACAGTCACCACACTGTTCCTTACACAGTCACCACACTGTTCCTTACACAGTCACCACACTGTTCCTTACACAGTCACCACACTGTTCCTTACACAGTCACCACACTGTTCCTTACACAGTCACCACACTGTTCCTTACACAGTCACCACACTGTTCCTACACAGTCACCACACTGTTCTTTACACAGTCACCACACTGTTCCTTACACAGTCACCACACTGTTCCTTACACAGTCACCACACTGTTCCTTACACAGTCACCACACTGTTCCTTACACAGTCACCACACTGTTCCTTACACAGTCACCACACTGTTCCTTACACAGTCACCACACTGTTCCTACACAGTCACCACACTGTTCTTTACACAGTCACCACACTGTTCCTTACACAGTCACCACACTGTTCCTTACACAGTCACCAC